GTGACTCCTCACTTCCAGATAGGTGAATTTTTAATTGATAAGGGGCAGAATTAAGATTGTTGTTGCCAGAGTTGGAAAAGTCCCCACAGATCCCTGTTTTGTTTAAGAGCAGCTTGTTGTAGGTAGCTTATATTTCTCCTGCTCCTCTTTCTTCCTGTTTCGTCTTTTATCTACTGACTTTTAAGTATCTGCTTATCTTTTGTTTTTTTATGAGGGCAGCTGGGAACACATTTTATTTTCTTGGGTTGAATGCTTATTTTTGCTTCACCTAAGGAAACCACAGCCTTTCAAGTAGTTTTGAAAAAGTGTACTTTTCATTTTCATTGCTGTCCTACCAGCAGCTGCTGGTATAACATTATAAAAGAACAAGGCAAGTGGTAGGAAGGGAATAGCATCAGGGATTCTCAAAAGTATGATAGATAACCGTGTCCCTTGATTAAAGAAACAAAAGCTGATGATTATGTAGAGTAGGAAAGCAGTAAGAGACAAGGTCGGTCAGCAGCATTGCTTGTGCAGATGGCTGTAGTCTAAGTAAATTCTAGTCTAGAATATTCTGTGAGGGGTAAAGAAGGGAGAAGGAGTACCTACTGTGGTGTCGTTTTCCCAGTTAGGTGATAAACCTGGCCTTATTGATGAGAACTAATTCTTGGGAAGGTCAGTACATTGCTAAAGATAACATAATCATTAAATACAGTGCTGAGTGTGTGCCATGTACTGCTAGACAACTCATTTTATTTTGAGATAGAGCCAGGATTTGACCTGGGTCTTTCTTACCCCGTACATAACCTGTGCTGCCTTTTATCTTGTGGGACAGGAAACCTCGAATGCTGACATTGTGCCTATCACAGCACCCCAGGCATTCATTCAGCAAATGTTTGTCTAATTTTTGTTGGACATTGGGAACGATGAAAAGAATGAAAACTTATATATTTGCTAGTGGGTATTAGATGGTAATTCCTTTTACAGGTTTCAGGGCTCTCCGTACATTAACTTAAGGAGCACATAGTAGACACACAATGTGTCTTTATTTAAGTAGTTACAGTAGAGCGCTTTATTCCTTTACTGTAGATTTGAGTCATCAGGGTGACCTCCAACAAAATTTTGAGACAGGGTCTTGCTCTGTTGCCTAGGCTGGAGTGCAGTGGCATAATCTCGGCTCACTGCAACCTTTGCTTCCTGTATTCAAGCAATTCTCCTGTCTCAGCCTTTCAAGTAGCTGGGATTACACGCACGCATCCGGCTAAGTTTTGTATTTTTAGTAGAGATGGGGGTTTAATTTACCATGTTGGCCAGGCTGGTCTCAAACTCCTGACCTCAAGTGATCCTCTTGCTTCACCCTCCCTAAGTGCTGGGATTACCAGTGTGAGCCACTGCACCCGGCCATCCAAGAAAATGTAGAAGTTATGTGACTTTAAAGGTCACCTTTGTAAGAATACCTTATTGTTTACAGTACGGCAGATGTCCCTATATAACTTCAGCTGCAGCATTTGGAATCTACTGTGTTACTGTCTTACTGTTCCTACCACTAACTGATTCTTACAAAAGAGGAGATGAAAATGGAGTAGCATTCAATAAATGCTTGTGTGTCTCTTATAATTTGTAGCTAAATCTGATTGCAGAAAGTGGCCACAGGCTTTACAGGCCTTGTTACTGATGTAGCAGGAGGGACTTTGAGCAGATAATATCTGCCCAAGAACCATCGGCAGGACTAGCTCCTGGACCCGCCCACATCAGGGCCTCCTGCATCACTTGTTCAGCCTGTGCATGTGTTTGCTCAAAGATCATGTCACTGGCGATCATACATACATTCCTTACTCAGTTAAGGTAGATACTAGTGTGCTCTCAGACTTGAGATTATACAGCAGAAATTTAAGGTTCTTTTGTTGTTCATTTGCCAAGTATGTATTAAAGGAAGGAACCATTAAAGCCAGTTTTAAACAAGCAGACCTTCTCCAGAGTTCACCCTTCATTTACTGCAGATTGTTTTTGCCTTCTGTCCTTACATATCCTTGAGTGCATCTCATTACCTGGGTTTTAATCAGCTGGCCTACCATTTGTTTTAGGTCTGGTGTGCTGCCATTTGCGTCTCGTCTTGAGTATGAACCCACACATTACCTGTGTCTCTCAGCAGGATTCTGGAGCCACCTGTTCGAGCAGCCTCATCTGACATTTTTTTAGAAACTTAGAGCACTTTTATTTGGCATAATCTACTGTATTGTGAAGTGAAAAGCAAGGGACACGCTTTGGAGTAATTTCCTGCCCTGCTTTTTAAAAAAAAAAAAAAAAAAAGACAATCTCACCCTGTCTCCAGGTTGGAGTGCAGTGGCGATGTCGGCTCACTGCAACTTCTGCTTCTGGGTTCAATCAGTTCTGCCGCCTCAGCCTCCTGAGTAGGACTACAGGCATGTGCCACTGCACCCAGCTAATTTTTGTATTTTTAGTAGAGACAGCGTTTCACCATGTTGGTCAGGATGGTCTCAATCTCTGGACATGCGATCTGCTCGCCTCGGCCTCTCAAAGTTCTGGGATTACAGGCATGAGCCACTGCGCCTGGCCACTGCCCAGCTTTTTGAAATCATCAGTTTTGTGACGAGCTGTGGTCATTTCATTTGTCATTTGCCGACTTTCAAGTAAATTGAAATTTTACTATAATCTGAGTGAAGTAACCAGTTTGTAACTATTTTAAATATTAAAACAAATGGAAAATTAGTGGCTTAGTATTAGAATTAATATTGATCTGCAGTATATAATTAGTTGCTGTTTGAATTGGATTGACTTTTTCTTTTGTCTATGGAATATTTTCCCCCAATTTTTAGAATACATGCTTCTCTATGAGAGTTGGAATTTTTTTTCAAAATTGATTTTTCTTTCCTAAATTGGTTGGACAGTTCTCCCAGAGCTGAGAGCATGCTTTGGGTATAATCACATAGCAAACTGAGATGTAGAAGCTTGGACTTCTATTAGGACCCCTCTGTTTACTCTGTGTCATAGTGGGAAAGTGGATCACTCTGAGCCAGTTTTCTTTAAGTTTGGCCATTATACCTAGAGAGTGAGATTTTGGAGCCAAGATGGAATAGGATTGTACTGCCTACTTCATACAGTTCTATGCTTCTTGATCTTTTTCTGAGACAGAGTCTCACTCAGTTGCCCAGACTAGAGTGCAGTGGCATGATCCTGGCTCACCACAACCTCCGCCTCTCAGGTTCAAGCAATTCTCCTGCCTCAGCCTCCCTAGTAGCTGGGACTTCAGACACCCGCCACCACACCTGGCCAATTTTTGTATTTTAGTAGAGACAGGGTTTTACCATGTTGGCCAGGCTGGTCTCAAACTCCTGACTTCAGATGATCCATCCACCCCAGCCTCCCAAAGTGCTGGGATTACAGGCATGAGCCACTGTGCCTGACCTTTTTTTTATTTTTTAAGCTTGTGTTATTTTTATAATTCATAAAGGAAAATCACGCATGAACATATGGCAGTGCCGTTGACTGCGAGTCCATTGTCTTTTCTGGTTCATTTGGGAAGAAAGACCAGACTATCCTTAGGGAGAAAATTGTTTATCTTTAGGGGTGGCAGCTTCTCCTGAAGACTGAGTCAATTTGTTTTCCTTGGTGTTTTCCATAGTACTTGAAAGCTAGCCACCTTGTATTGGAGTAGTACATATTTGCAAGCAAATACTAAGCATTGGGTCATGTAGTCTATTTCTAAGAATTTCTCAAAACATAAAGAATGGTTTGTTTATTATTCAGCCTGAGCTGAGACTAAAAATGAACCCCAATTTCATATTTCTTTTTACTCCTAAAAATACTGTTTAAAATAATACTTGTTTGTTGAAGAAAATTTTAGGTAAAACTAAAGGTTTTTTCTTTTTTTCCTTTCCTTTCCCCTCCCCTCCCCTCCCCTCCCCTTTCCTTTCCCTTTCTCTTTCCCTCTCCCTCTCCCCCTCTCCCTCCCCCTCCCCCTCCCATCTTACTCTGTCACCCAGACTGGAGTGTGGAGGCACAATCTTGGCTCACTGCAACCTCTGCCTCCTGAGTTGAGGTGATTCTTTTGCCTCAGCTTCCCAAGTTGCTGGGATTACAGCAACCTGTCACCACACCTGGCTAATTTTTGTATTTTTAGTAGAGATTGCGTTTCACCACGTTGGCTGGTCTCAAACTCCTGACCTCAAGTGATCCGCCCACCTCAGCCTCCCAAAGTACTGGGATTACAGGAATGAGCCAACACACCCAACTCTGAGTAATTCTTTTCAAAAATTATTAAATTATTTTTAATGATTTAGAATAATGACAACATTGACAGGATCTGGCCTCCTAGCCTCAAGGGATTCCTCTTGCCTCAGCTTTCCAAAGTGTTAGGATTACAGGCATGAGCCTTATTCTCTTTTAAAGAAGACTCATAAGCTCATCACCCAGCAATAACTGCTGTTAATATTTGAGGATATTTATTCAGACGTTTCTCTGTGGGATCAATAACTGTATTATAATGATTCTATTTTGTTACCATCTATTCTTTATTTTTAGTCTTGTAAGTGGCAAATGTATTAGTCCTTTTTTATGCTGCTGATAAAGACATACCCGAGACTGGGAAGAAAAAGTGGTTTAATGGACTTAAATTTTCACATGGCTGGGAAGGCCTTACAATCATGGCGGAAGGCAAGGAGGAGCAAGTCATGTCTTAATGGATGGCAGCAGGCAAAGAGAGAGAGCTTGTACAGGGGAACTACTTTTTAAAAACATCAGATCCTGTGAGACTTAACTATCACGAGAATAGCACAGGAAAGATCAGCCTCCATGATTCAATTACCTTCTACTGGTTCCCTCCCAAAACACTTGTGAATTGTGGGAGATACAAATCAAGATGAGATTTGGGTGGGGACACAGCCAAACCGTATCAGCATGCCTGAAATATACATGTATTATACATGTATATTAATTCTAGTGGACCATAGGCTGTACTCTTTCCCTCAGTTTGTTTACTACTATCTCATCTTGTTTTTCAGTGGATGAGTACATTGCCATTGCCAAAGAAAAGCATGGGTACAACATGGAACAGGTAATACGGTTTTCTTTCTTTTGCTGTTAAAAATGAGTATTTTTAACTAAATTATATTTTTTCCTCTCTCTATTGAGTAGCATTGTTTCCTCATTAGCAACTTTTTGGTAACTACTAGTAGTGTTACACAAACTCTGGTCTCCTTCTTCTTGTTCAAGGTAAATATTAGAGGACCCTTTGATTTGAAAGGCACATCTGTGCATTTCTGCAGATCTACAGCCTTTAGGACACTGATTACTTAGTGATTACTGAGCTGGATGCTTGAGCATAATGCTTTCTCATTTGATATGTGATTTTTTTGTCATTCTGGCTGTATAATGATGTTTTCTGACTCATGTTTTCACATTTTACCTAAAGTGTTTTAATATTCACCATTTTGAATCACTTTCAGCTTGTAAACATTTGACTAAAGTTTTTTTTTTTTTTTTTTTTTTTTTTTTTTTTTTTTTTTTCTTCTTCTTCTTTGAAGCAAAGTCCCGCTCTGGCACCCAGGCTGGAGTGCAATGGCGCAATCTCAGCTCATTGCAATCTCTGCCTCCCAGGCTCAAGTGATTCTTGTGCCTCAGCCTCTCAAGTAGCTGGGATTATAGGCATACGCCACCATGTCTGGCTAAATTTTTATTTTTTTTTAAGACGGAGTTTTGCTCTTGTTGCCCAGGCTGGAGTGCAATGGCACAATCTTGGCTCCCTACATACAACCTCTGCTTCCCGGGTTTAAGTGTTTCTCCTGCCTCAGCCTCCTGAGTAGCTGGGATTACAGGCATGTGCCACCATGCCCAGCTAAGTTTGTATTTTTAGTAGAGATGGGGTTTCTCCATGTTGGTCAGGCTCGTCTTGAACTCGCCACCTCAGGTGATCCTTCTGCCTCAGCCTCCCAAAGTGCTGGAATTACAGGTATGAACCACTGCACCCAGCCACGTCTGGCTAATTTTTGTATTTTGAGTAGAGACAGGGTTTCACCATGTTGACCAGGCTGGCCTTGAACTCCTGACCTCAGGTGATCCACCGGCCTTGGCCTTCAATGTGCTGAGAGATCACAGGCGTGAGCCACCACACTCTGCCAAGCGTTCTTTTAAATATTGTTTGTAACATACTAATAAGAAATCCACAAGATTTATTTTTCTGCAAAAGTGTGACGATACCTTATTTCAGCATTAATGACTTACTTTAAATGCATCAAGTTGGATCAATGCTTTCTGTGGCCTTAATCCAGATCTTACAACCTGTAAGTTACTGACATTTCTCATTTTTCCTAATGGTAGAAGTTACCAAGAGTTTAGATTATGTGAAATTGTACACGTTTTTTGGGGATTGGCCTTACATTTACTCTATCCTGGACATTGAAGCTACTTTTAATTAGATGATTGCAAAATATACCTGTATTAATTCTTAAGGATGCTAGATTTCTCCTTTAAAATGATCATTAGTATGAAAATTTCCTATGTTGTGATTGCAGTGTAAAAATTATCCTCAGCAACGTATTGCTGGGTTATCTTGTCTTATCTCTTTTGTAATTTCTACGTTTATTTCTAAGTTGAGAAAACCTTTATGTATATCACATATATATATAACTTAAATATATATACAGTTTTTAAAATAAAAGAACAATACAACAATTGTGCTTTTATAAATTACTTTCTTCTTTTATATGTTGAGGCAGTAAAGCGTGGTGTTTGAAGAGCACAGATCCCAGAGCCATGCTGGTTTTATGGCCAGTGGCAAGTTGCTTAATTTCCCGGGTCCTCCATCTTCTAATTTGAAAGTGAGAGTGATGGAGTTTACCTCACGAGGTAAATGAGTTAATGTACAAAGAGCATTTGACAAGGAGAATTCTGGGACAACGACAGAATGTTGAGCACCAAGAGACTTTTGAGCACCAAGAGACTTTCTCCCCACCTAGATAGAAATTGCACCATTAGAACCTGTCTGATGTAACTATTTTGGAACTTTGGGGTCTACTGAGGGCTTGTAACTTTGGTCAGTTTTAGCTCCCAGCAAGCTAGCAGTTACCCATCCCCCATTTTAATCCCCCCTGGCAGGCAGCTGTGTGTTCCTGTACACTTGCATGTAGCTTGTAGGAAATGGGAAGGGCAGAAAGCGCCCTGTCCTCCAAATTTAGGATCAGTGCTCTGATTGCTGCTTCTGATCACAAAAGTGCAAAGAGGACCCCCACCTGCAGGTGTTGCACGCTCCTCCTCTCCAGCTGAGGTGACTTCCAGGGGACTCAAAGGACTAGTGTCCTTGCCCCCCCAGGTCCTCTTTATATTTCTCCTTTCACCCTTTTGGGAGCCAGACATAAAGGCTGGGACTTTTGAAAGCAACTGCATATTAGGAGAAAGTCACCATGCCTGCCCGGGGAAAGGCAGAGCCTCAGAGAATCCGTAAGTTTATACCTCAGGCTGAGCCTCAGCATGGAGGCAAGCCTACAGCAACCAAAAGAAAGCCAAAACGGTAAAAACACAGCACACCCTGAGGAATAGTGTGATTGCGAGTTACTGCGTTACTAGATTCAAATGTTGTCCAGATTTTAACAGAAAAATCACAAAGCATACAAAGAAATGGTAAAGTATGCCAATTCACAGGAAAAAAATTAATCAACAGAAACTCCCTGGGAAAAGACCTTACTGGTAGATCTACTAGGCAAAGATTTTAAAGCAACTATCTTAAAGATGTTAAAAGAACTAATGGAAGATACAGAAAAAGTCAAGAAAATAATGTATGAACTAAATGGAAATATTAGTAAGGAAATGGAAAACCTAAAAGAAAACCAAAATGAAATTCTAGAGCTTAAAAGTTTGAAATGAAAAATTCACTAGAGTTGCTCAAAGGCAGATTTGAGGAGTCCCAAGAAAGAATGAGAAAGAACGTGAAGAAAGGACAATGGAAATTATTGATTGAGTCTGAGCAGCGGAATGAGAAAAGAGTGAACAGAGCCTAAGGTACCCTTGGGACACAATCAAGTGGACTAACATATGCATTATGGAAGTTGCATAAGGGGAAAGAGACAGGAACAGAGAGATTATTTGAAGAAATAATGGCCAGAAACTACGAAAATTTGATGAAAGATGTGAATATAAACATCCAAGAAACTCAGTGAACTCCAAGTAAAGATGGACTCAAAGACTCACCAGAGCACATAATGAAAAGACAGAGAATCTTGATAGCAGCAAGAGAGAACTCTAACCCATTACATGTAAGGGATCCTGAATAAGCTTATTAGGGTATTTCTTGTAAGAACCTTTGGAAGCCAGAAGGCAATGGGCTGATATATTCAAAGCAGTAAGAAGAAAACTGCCAACTAAGAATCCTATGTTTGAGAAAATTCTTTCAAAGGTAAAGGGGAGAAGTTAAGATATTCGCAGCTAAATAAAAGCTGCTAGAGAGTCTCTCTGAAGAGACCATCATGGATCTGAAGTTGCCAGCTGGTAATCCTGTTGTCCGTAAATTGTTAAAGAATGTGAAGCCCATCAAGTCCATAAACGAAAGTTCCTAGGGGATGAAGAAACCGTGCATAAAGCCATGGAAGCCATGGCTGCGCAGGGCAAGGCCAAGAATTGAAGGCCAGCGGGCTGACTGCTATTTCAGGGAACCTTCTCTCTGCCCATACCATTCCTCTTCACCTCCCTGCTGCACATACCAATCACACTGACCACATCTGTAGGCACCTTATGTTGGAGCTGCAGATGGGAACTCCTGGCCCCCATTTTCATTGTAACCACTTCTGTCTCATGCAGCCACTCCCTTCATATAAACTAGTCAGAATAGCGCCTCAGGTGCAGGGAGAAATCTCTCCTTATCCAGGAGAGTTGAGAGATAGTGACTTGGGCTTTTGCCAGGGCTTTGTGTATTAAGGACCTTTGTGGGAGGAACCATGCTGTCCTGGCCAAGGAGGAGAAGCAGGAGAGCCTGTTTGACCCCAGGCGCCAGTCCTGTACTCTTTCTCAAGTCAGGCCACTCTGTCTGGGGAGCTCTGCTCATTCCAGTGGAAGACAAGTATCACCTACATGGTGATGTGAAAAAACAACTGTTTTTTCCCTAACCCCAGATGAGGTTGCTCTAGAAGGTTGACAGCAATCCTGTATTAAGTTCATGTGTTGGATTTACATTTACAAAAAATTATATATAAAATACAAAACAAAAACCCACAGCAGTGGGTTTTAGAATCCCTCCCCTACCTTATTTTGTGGCAGTGAAATGCCTCTTGATCATGTTTAAGTATGTCTTTCACTGACTTGACTTCTGAGTTGTGTTCTAATTGCTTGGCCCTGCCATGTGGACCCAGTATTCAATCTTTTTTCCTAGATCAGTATAATAAAGGAGTAATGTACAATTTAAAATAAATAAAAGCTTGTGTCTTTTTGTTTGTGTGTGTGTTGTTGTTGTTGTGTTTAAGATGGGGGTTCACCATGTTGGCCAGGATGGTCTTGATCTCGCGATCCACCCACCTCGGCCTCCCAAAGTGCTGGGATTACAGGTGTGAGCCCACCTTGCCCAACTTGTTTATTTTGTTTTGAGACAAGGTCTTGCTCTGTCACCCAGGCTGGAGTGCAGTGATGTGATCATAGCTCACTTCAGCCTTGAACTCTTGTCAATCAAGCAGTCCTGCCTCAGCCTCCCAAGTAGCTGCAATTACAGGTGTGCACCACCCTGCCTGGCTAATTTGTTGTTGTTTATTTGTTTTTTATAAAGTCATAGTCTTGCTAAGTTCCCCAAGCTGGTCTCCAACTTCGGAACTCAAGTGATCCTCTCACCTCGGCCTCCCAAAGTGCTTGGGGTTACAGGTGTGAGCCACAATGCCCAACCTCAGATAATAGCTATAGAATATATACACAAGGAAATAGAAAGGAATTTATATCTTTCACTATCAATAATCAACTAAATATAAAAAGGAGGCCCAAAGCGGTGGCTCACGCCTATAATCCCAGCATGTCGGAAGGCCAAGGTGGGCCGATCACTTGAGCTTAGGAGTTGGAGACCAGTCTGGGCAATATGATGAAACCGCCTCTACAAAAAAAAAAATTAGCTGGGTGTGGTGGTATGCACTTGTAGTCCCAGCTGCTTAGGAGGCTGAGGCAGAAGAATCGCTTGAGTCTGGAGGGGGAGGCTGCAATGAGCTAAGATCATGCCATTGTTCCTCTAGCCTGGGCAATCAGAATGAAACCCTGTCTTACAAAAAGAAAAAGAAAAAAAAAAAAAACAAAAAACATTAAAAGGAGACAGTAATTCAGGAAATGAAGGACATAAAAAGCTTTAAGGAATATACAAAACAAAATAGCAAAATGACAGAACTCCCTCCTTATCAGTGAGGGAGTCTCAAATAATACCTGTCTCAAATAATAATAATTTTAATATAAAAGGATTAAACTTTCCAAACGAAGGACAAAGACTGGCAGAACGGGTAAAAAATATAGGATCCCACTATATACCATGTACAAGAGAGTTACATTAGTTCCAAAGACACGAATAATTTTAAAGTGAGAGTGTGGAAAATGGTATCCCATGCAAGTAGTAACGAAAAGAAAGCAGGAGTGAGTATGATAATGTCAGTCAAAACGGACCTTATAAGTTAGACAGGGACATTCATTGTTGGTGGGAATGTAAAATGGTACACTTGCTGGGGAAAACAGGATGGCAGCTTCTTAAAAAATTAAAAATAGAATTACCTACCATATTCCACCAGTTCTACTTCTGGCCAAAGTGGGTAGATTGCTTGAGCCCAGGAGTTCAAGACCAGCCTGGGCAACATGGCAAAACCCTCTCTCTACAAAAAGCACAAGAGATTAGCCAGGCATGTGATGTGTGCCTGTAATCCTAGCTACTTGGGAGGCTGACATGATCAAGGAGGATTGCTTGAGCCTGGGAAGTGGTGGCTGCAGTGGGTGCCACTGCACACCAGCCTGTGTGACAGAGCCATACCCTGTCTCAAATAATAATAATAATAATAACAATAATTGTTTTTTTTGAGACAGAGTTTCACTCTTGTCACCCAGGCCAGAGTGCAATGGCGTGATCTTGGCTCCCTGCAACCTCTGCCTGCCAGGTTCAAGTGATTCTCCTGCCTCAGCCTCCTGAGTGGCTGGGATTTAGGCGTCCACCACCACACCTGGCTAATTTTTGTGTTTTTGGTAGAGACGGGGTTTTGCCATGTTGGCCAGGCTGGTCTCAAACTCCTGACCTTCAGGTGATCCACCTGCCTCGGCCTCCCAAAGTGCTGGAATTACATGCATGAGCCACCTCACCCTGCCAGTAATAATAATCTTAATAGACACAAAATAGAATGATAGTTGTCAGGGGCTGGGGGTAGGGAGGAATAGGGAGAGGCAACAGGAGCTTTTGTTTAATGGCTACAGAGTTTCCCTATCACAAGTTGAAAAGAGTTCTGGAGTTGGATATTGGGATGGTTGTACAACATTATGAATGTATTAATGCTACTGAACTGTACAGTTAGATGGTTAAGTGGATAAAATGTATGTTATTTAAATATCACTACAATTATGAAGAGTAGGAAAAGGGGCATCTGACAGTGTCTGCCACTTATCACTATATATGAGTTAGTTTGTCTAAATATGAAGTAGTTCTTTCTTACTTTTCTTTTTCCAGTTTCATTTCCATTTTCTGTGCTTTTTGTTCAATCTAAAATTTCACTGATATCATTTTTGTAGGCTCTTGGGATGCTCTTCTGGCATAAACATAATATCGAAAAGTCATTGGCTGATTTGCCCAACTTTACCCCTTTCCCAGATGAGTGGACTGTGGAAGATAAAGTCTTATTTGAGCAAGCCTTTAGTTTTCATGGGAAAACTTTTCATAGAATCCAACAAATGGTAAGTAGATGAGACCACTGAGTTTTAACTACTTTTTTCTCTTAGCTACTCTTTTCTGCAGCATACTTGAGATAGGGATATCATACTCAAACATGATATTCCTGTCCTGTCGACTGTGATTGGACCCTCCTCCCGCCCAGTCCTTCCCGTTGGGACTCCCAGAAGATTAGACCCATGCGAAGGATCTCTGATGGTTGTCTGAGGTGGTTGTCTGAGGCTCTGGCTGCCTGGGGACAGCTGGCTTATTTACGTTCTGGAAAGCTCTTCAGTAGACTCCTACTTAAAAGCTTACTAACATTTGCATTAAGTGTTAAAATGAATTTTTTTAAAACTAAGTTTTATTTAAGGACTTTGGTTATGTGAAAACTCTGATTCATCTTGAACTGATTTTATCAGCTCGTATTGACTGTTTCACTTCCAAACTTCAGTAATTTAAAATATATATTGATAAGAATTCATTTATCAATTTTTTCTTATCAGAGAAAAGGGCTATGGCTTCAGATATATCTGAAGATGTAAGAGTGATCCTTATTAAAGATATCTAAACATTTGATTTTTAAATATTACTTTAGTATTTAAATAGACCAACTCTTTTTTTATGTTTAGCTTCCTGATAAATCTATAGCAAGTCTGGTAAAATTTTACTATTCTTGGAAGAAGACGAGAACTAAAACTAGTGTGATGGATCGCCATGCCCGGAAACAAAAACGGGAGCGGGAGGAGAGGTGAGCATGCGGCTGGGGTGTTGTCTAACCACTTAGGGGGATTTCTAAGAGCCCCACATACAGAAAGGCAAGGGAAAATGACTGGTTTTCCTCCTGCGTCTTCCTGGTGAAACCACATGTTCATGAGATGTATTAAGATGTATTAGAGCGTGTTACATTATTCAGGTACTTTTCTCATCACTTTTTCCCTGCCGTTGGTGAACTTCCATTTTGAATCAGTTAACTGACTCATTTTTTATTCCCTGCTGCTTTAAAAGGAGTGGCTCGTTTTAATAAAAAAGAATCTTTTATTTTGTAGTTTGAGGTTTAATATGGTATATTTTTACAAGATTCATTTGGCGTGTTTTTACATTTGCCATGTGGAAACAAAAATATAGAAATATAGTTTAGAATTGCTTCTTCCTTTTTTGACCATCTGTTTTTTGTGTGTGTGAGTGAGAAAGAGAAACATTTTATAATTTCTTAGTAAGGATTTTAGTTTTCAGGATAGCTTAGTATGGAGAATACTTCTTAACCATCACTTCCTCAGTCTCGTATGTAGTACAGAGAAGTAGAATGGCCAGGTACTCATACTCAGAAATGGATTCTAGTCTCAGCATTGAAGATTCCACATACACATTCACAAGCTACACTGGGATGTTTAAGGTCTTTAATTTATTTTTAAAAATATGTAAAATTGTACATACAGGCATGTGAGTTCAACATGCATCTTCCCCAAGCCTCTGTTTGCCTCAACTCTAAAATGAGGATGTTAAATCCAGAAGGTAGCACACAAACCTAACAGTATTTTTGTTAGGGTGGTGGGATATATAGGTGGCTTTTAAAAAATCGTATTTCCCACATTTTCTGTAATATTTTTGTCAATTAATAATACAAAATATGCCAGGCGTGGTGACTCATGCCTGTTATCCCAGCACTTTGGGAGGCTGAGGCAGGTGGATCACGAGGTTAAGAGATCAAGATCATTCTGGCCAACATGGTGAAACCCCATCTCTACTAAAAATATAAAAATTAGCTGGGCATGGTGGTGGGTGCCTGTAGTCCCAGCTACTCAGGAGGCCGAGGCAGGAGAATTGCTTGAACCCAGGAGGTGGAGGTTGCAGTGAACCAAGATCACACCACTACACTCCAGCCTGGTGACAGAGCGAGACTCCGTCTCAAAAAAAAAAAAAACTACATAAAATAATATTATTAATAATAATACAAAATACAATGAAGGAGGATGAAATATATGGTCCCCAGTGTCCTGTCTCAGGATGGAATTTTATTTCAAATGAAAGAGTAACATATGAGAACACATTGAGTATCACTTTTGGAGAATTCAAACTTCTTGGACCAAGTATAAATTGAGAGTGACGTTAAGAACATCTTCAAAGCTCTTTTAGATTGTAAGAGTCTGTAAAATTATTGACCATGATACATCTAGATATTTTTGCCTCTGACTTACATACTAGCAGATCTATTTACGGATGAATAATTTACTAACTTTTAATTAAGCTTTTTCATTTTCCTAGTGTACTGTCTGTATAGTAAGTCTGTTACTACAAGCAGGTGCAGTTTACTAAGCAGCAATCAAAATTGAATAATGCAGAGTGGGATTGAATATCCTTGAGTATGAAATAAGAATACCTGCCAATGCTCTTCCATTTTTACTCCCTGGGGGATTTTTCAAAAATCTTTTGCATTGCTCATGATGGGGCCAAGAACTGCTCTGCCTCTACCTCCCATGTACACCTAACCACTTTTGGGATGCAGGGATGGAGATGCTGCAGCAGAACCTGATAAATTGTTGGCTTTCTAACAGGACTTGCCTATGAAAGTCATGGCAGGGACTGGGAGAAAATTTCCTTAGCCAAAGGCTCTTTCTGCTGTGGACACTCTTTCCTCAGCTAGAGCTTCCTGCTACCTTGGTGGAGGGTGGGGAGGAGGTGGCACACAGTGGGCGTGGTCCCCTGGGATGGATTCAGAGGTGGGCAAACTGGGGCAGGCTACATGACTTCTGTAGACTTAGTTTTCTCATTTTTTAGAGTTGCATTCCTTCCTACACAGGGGCTTTTTTTTTTTTTTTTTTCCTTTTTTTTTAAGAAATACTACATTCAGGATATTACAAAAAGCATTTAAAGTGCTATACCAGTATTAGTTTTCTTTTTAAAATTAAACTTACTACTCTTTTTTTGAGACAGAATTTCACTCTTGTTGCCCAGGCTGGAGTGCAATGGCCTGATCTCAGCTCATTGCAACCTCCACCTCCCAGGTTCAAGCAACAGATACTCTTTCTTGCTTCAGCCTCCCAAGCAGTTGGGATTACAGGCATACACCACCACACCTGGCTAATTTTGTATTTTTAGTACAGACAGGGTTTCTCTATGTTGGTCAGGCTGCTCTGGAACTCCTGACTTCAGGTGATCTCCCTGCCTTGGCCTCCCAAAGTGCTGGGATTACAGGCATGAGCCACTGGCCTAAACTTAATTTTAAAACATCAGTTGTCCAGGACATCAGAAAAACCTCAGTCTTTGTGCGGCCTTGAGTGGAAAGATGGTACTTGAAAAAGGATTTTTTTACTTGTTGGTAAGTTGTTCCCAATGCAGTCGAAATTTATTCTCTCATAATTTTTCAGTTTTGTTTAGTCTTCATATCCTAGTTCTCAATAGATAATTATGGGGAAATGTAAATGCATTTTCAATTTGATATTTTCAGTTTACACATATAGAACAATAGTGTTCTAGATCTGGACTGAGAAGTTAGGACTCTATTTTAGTAGTTTTTCATTTAGACTGAAAGAACTATGGAATTGGTATTCTGTTTGAATTATAAAGATGTTTTTATCTCAGCAGTCTGAAAACATATACTAATTGTATATTAAATCTGCCATTAAATCAATTTATTGTTTATATTTGTGTAGTAAAATTAATACACAATAACCAGTCACTTGTTCTTGTCTTCCAGTGAGGACGAACTGGAAGAAACAAATGGAAATAATCCCATTGACATTGAGGTTGATCAAAACAAGGAAAGCAAAAAGGAGGTATTTCCCCCCGTATTGTTTAGACAGATAAATTGTATTACCAGTTTCATAAATAAAACATTTCTCTTGCTTGTGCTATGGGGAAAGCAGCATGATACGGTTTTCTTTTTTCAACAGTACTATCTTTGCTTTATAGATCGTAGAATTTTGTTTGCCATTAAATATGAATAAAGGAAGCCTTAAAGGAAAAATAATAGCATTAATGAGTAATGATGTTCCCTAGGGCAGCAGTCCTCACTGACTTCCCTTCTAAGCTGTTAGCTCAGTAGGCTAGCAAGTGGTCTAGTGAATTCCAGGCAGCCTTAGGGGCCTCCATTCACTCTAGCTGCTCTGGCGTCTGCCCGTCCTGGGCACCCATGTCGTGCCTAGGATGACTGCAAGGAGCTGGCCCCGTTACTCATAAGCAGCAGTGTGGTCAGACCAGGGCAAGTCAGGACCATCCTCTCACACGTGGTGATTGTTTCATCTCACTCATGATTTACAGTATCATTACAGAAGAGATTTTAGTTTCTGGATTCAAAGGACTTATAAACCCTTATAATTGTATGTAACTTTTCCATAGGTTCATAGAGGTGTTTTTCGGAAAACAGAGTCCATAGTTTCAATAAAATTTCTCAGAGAGTTCTCTCTCCCTGCTCCAAAATACAAGGACAGTTATTTTAAGCCTAGAAAAACAGAAGGGTCTAAATATATCTAAACTTTAAAATGACATCAGTAATATATGCTTCTTACAGATAAGGTAGGAAATACAGCTAACCGAAAGAAGAAAATTAAAGTGATTTATAGCATTATCATCCATAATCATTGTCAACATTTTGGTGACTTTTTCCTGAGAACTCTCAGAAAAATGTATATGCCTGTATATTGATAATTCTGAATCTAGTCACTTTTTAAAATATATAAAATGGGATCTTTGTAATTTTTAGACCCTTTTCAATTTATTCTACTTTGAATTTTTTTTTTTTTTTTTGAGACAGGGTGCTGTGGCACCATCATGACCCACTGCAGCCGCCAACTACTGGGCTTAAGCAATCCTTCTACCATGGCCTCCTAAAGTGCTGGGATAACAGGCAGGAGCCACCATGCCAAACCCCTTGAATTTTCTTTTTTCTTGAGACAGATGCTCACTGTGTTGTCCAGGCTAGAGTACAGTAGTGTGATCCCGGCTTACTGCATCCTCCGCCTCTGGGGTTCAAGCGATTCTCCTGCCTCAGCTTCCCGGGTAACTGGGACTACAGGCACATGTCACCAGACTCCACTATTTTTTAGTTTTTATTTTTTTTGTATTTTTAGTACAGATGGGGTTTCACCATGTTGGCCAGGCTGGACCTTGAATTTTTTTGTGTCAACTATATTTGTATACATAGCTATGTGTTCTTCTGTCACATGAATGTTTCATAATTGAGTTAATTTTACCCTATGTGAATTTGAGTTGTTTATCCCCCTGTGCTTTTATAAACAATGCTACATTGATTCTCACATAACACAGTATTTGTGCATGTAGGTTTTTTTCATTAGAATTAATTCCTGGAAGTTGAATTGTTGAGTCAACGTGTTTTAGATACATTGTTAAGGTTTTTTTTGTTTGTTTGTTATATACTACCAAATTGGAAATTGGTCAGTTTTTTCTCCATAATTTATATGACTTCCCAAATAATATCCTGAGGTTTAGCTAAATTAGATTGTTTGGGAAATCAAATTGTAGTTCGAGTTTTTCTTAAGTTTTGTTCTGATGCATTGCTATTTACCAGGTTTTTCAGTGGCACATTTTAAATGAGAGAAAACACTTGATTTTATACAATTTTTGTAATCCTTATTTAATGTGATTTCTGATTCAGAAAGAAAATGGTTAAATCATAGTTTCTTTAAGTATTAAAATGTTATTTGAACAGACGTCAGTAGGCGATCTTTATTAAATATCGTCCCATACAGAGCATAGTTTATTGTCTGTTAATATTTTTGTATTACCTGCTTGTTGAAGAAACTACCACTACCGTCATAGTTTGCAGTGCCTTTAGCTCAGTCTTTTAAAATATGGAGCAGAAAGTCGTATTTTTAGCTTTATCAGTGAATGCTAATACACGAACAAGATGAAATTATGAGCAATTATAAGAACTTCTTGTTCTTAGAGTGGTTACCAGTAAGACATACTCTTTTTTTTTTTTTTTTTTTTTTGAGATGGAGTGTTGCTCTTGTTGCCCAGGCTGGAGTGCAGTGGCACAATCTCAGCTCACTGCAACCTCCACCTCCTGGGTTCAAGCGATTCTCCTGCCTCAGCCTCCGGAGTAGCTGGATTACAGGCGTGCACAATCACGCCTGGCTAATTTTTGTATTTTTAGTAGAGACGGGGTTTCACCATGTTAGGCTGGTCTTGAACTCCTGACCTCGGGTGATCCACCCACCTCCCAAATGTGCTGGGATTTATAGGTGTGAGCCACCACATCCGGTGATATATTCTTTAACTTGACAAGATTTTACTGTGTTTCATTTCTGAAGGTTTTGGTTTTACAGAAAAAAAAAAAATTAATAGCAGTCATGCATCTTAAAATAAGATATATTATTTTAGAATAAGTTGTATAAGTTGCCCTAAAAATTGTGTCATCCAAAAAGAAAAGGTGTGTAAAAAGTAACAGTAGAATGTAGATAAATACAGATGGGTGTGTGTGTGTGTGTGTGTGTGTGTGTCCATCTACAAAACTCACCAGCAGATAATACAGATTTTTTTTCTTTGTATATTACTAGAGAAAGCTGAAAATTCTTATTTTCATTGGCTTAAAATGACAGAGTAAGGAAGTATTTGTACAAGAAAGAATAGAACACAGTTCCATTGTGTTGAGGCAAAGCTCAATAGCCCAAATTTTGTCTTGTTAGCTGCCTGTTAGAATTAGTAGATCTTACTTGGTTCTGATATGGCATGGTATTTGTCTTAGATTGTTTTGTGCAATGTTAAGGGAATAAATATGTTTATTACTGATCATTTGACATTTTTTTTTGTTTCATCCATTACGTATATATATCATACAGGTGCCCCCTACTGAGACAGTTCCTCAGGTCAAAAAAGAAAAACATAGCACACAAGCTAAAAATAGAGCAAAAAGGAAACCTCCTAAAGGAATGTTTCTTTCTCAAGAAGATGTGGAGGCTGTTTCTGCCAATGCCACTGCTGCCACCACGGTGCTGAGACAACTAGACATGGAATTGGTTTCAGTCAAACGACAGGTACTCATAAGCCCATTCTTGGAGGTAAAAGAGTTAATTAGCACTTGAGAGGTGTTTCTGTTAATCACATATTTGAATGTTCTCTTTCCACAAATCTGAAAGGAGCATTTTGTTTCTAAAGAATTAAGACAGATCTTGAGTACTAGCCCATTGATTTTTTTTTTTCTTTTTAATGAGCATAATAAATTGAAGCATATGGATATAGTGTCATCTGAAAGTATTTCTGAAGTATATAGGAAAGCATATGAATATCATATTTATGTATATATGTGTGTGTCTCTGTGATTTTTCACAATATGAACACACCCGAGTAACCTGCATCTGGACCAAAAAATGGAATGTTGCCCCCCATGCATTTTCCCTCCTGGTCACTGTTCCCCTCATGAAATGCTACATTCCCTCAGCAGCTCCACCTCTCTTTTATTACCTGACTCCTCCTTGTAGGTGACCACTGTTCTGATCTTTTTTATTTTATTTTCGAGACTGTGTCTTGTTTTGTTGCCCAGGCTGGAGTGCAGTAGTGCGATCTTGGCTCACTGTAACCTTTGCTTCCAGGGCTCAAGTGATCCTCCTACCTCAGCCTCCCAAGTAGTTAGGAGTACAGGCACTCGCCATTATGCCTGGCTAATTTTTTGTATTTTTTAGTAGAGGTGGGGTTTTGCCATGTTGCTGAGGCTGCTCTTGAACTCCTGAGCTCAAATGATCCACCCACCTCGGCCTCCCAAAGTGCTGAGATTACAGGTGTAAGCCACCACACTCGGCCCTATTCTGATTTTTAAAACCATAGATTTTTCTCTGTTTATATGGTCCTGTTTATTTTATGTCTGGCTTTCTTTCAACCTGAGAGCTAAGCACTTTTTCAAAATGGTCCTGTTATTTTATGGGTGGTTGCACATCAGTGTTTCCCAGCTGCAGCGCTATTGCCATGTTGGGCCGTCCTCTGCACTGTAAGGTGTTTAGCAGCGTCCCTGGTCTAAATGCTAGTAGCACCCTCCCCCTACCAGTTGTGGCAACAGAAATGTCCCTAGGCATTACCAGATTCCCTTTGGGGGCAAGATTGTCCCCAGTTGAGAACCACTGCTCTACATCATTGCCACATTTTGGTAGTCTTAAATTTTAGCCCTTCTAATGGGTTATAATGATACCTCATTGTACTTTTTATTTGGCAGTTCCCTGATGACTCATGAAGTTGCTCACCTTTTCATCCGTTTGTTGACCATGTGGATATCCTCTTTTGTGACATGTCTACTCAAGTCTTTCATCTGTTTTTTTCTGTCAGGTTGCATATTTTCTTAGTGGTTTATAAGGTGTTCTTTAGTCTCTGAGTTGTTTTCTACAACTTGTATTGTAAATACTGTAAATATGTTTTTCATTCTGTGACTCTTAATGGTATCTTTTGATAAACAGTAATGCTTAATGTTAAGGTAGTTTCTTAGTCTTCTCAAGTTAGTGGTTTTTGAGTTCTGTTAACCTTTCTCAAGTCACCTCCCATGCTGATTTTAGCAGCGTCGTTTTACCTTTTACATTTTAATCTAGAAATGTTTTTCTGTATTTGTTGTCACATGTTGAATAATCACTGTTTTGTTTTCGTATGAGTATCAGTTTGGCCAAGTATTTACTGAAGAAACTTTTCTTCTTTGCAATGCAGCAGGACCTTTGTTTTACATCCAGGGTCTGTATGGGTATGGAACTGGTTTGAGGTTCTCTATTCTTTTGGTCTGTTTGTCCATCCTTCACCAATACATACTGTCCTAACTTTATGTGCTTTATAAATGTAGATATCTGGTGTAATGTAAGTTCTCCAACATTATCTTGGTTATCACTGGCCTTTTAATTTCCATATAAAATTTAGAATTACTTTATCAATTTTCAGAAAAATAATGCTATTAAAATTTTGATTGGGATTTTATTGTATCTATAGACAAAAATGGAGAATTCACATCTTTATTGAGTTTCCTGATCAGTGAACATGATATACTCCTCTACTTGTATATGTCTGTAATTTCTGTCAGTGTTGTGGTGTTTACTGTGTAAGAACTTACGCGTCTTTTGTTAATTATTCTGTGATATTTGGTATTCTTTTGGTGCTCTTATAAAAGATATTGTTTTTTAAATTACCTTACAGTTGTTTTTGCCTGCTGTGTGGCTTACTTTAATCAGATTGCATGGTACATTTAAACTGAAAATTCAACCTAGTAGTTAAGTACTGCTCTTTCATTCTCTTTCTGGAATTCAGTTCCAGAAACCCATCAGCAAGTTGTTGACTGACAGTTTATTTTTGGTTTTTGCTGCTTTTGATTAATCTTGGTGGTTCCCTTGGAAGGTTAAACAGGAGGCCGACTGTCATCTCATAGATGCGAAGAGCATGGTGTGCGGCCGTCGTTCTTGTGGTTTAGGGAAGGAGCCCAGACCAGGACCCAAGCACACCCTGTGTGCTCAGAGGAGCAGCTTCTTGTCATGGTTGCTGTCAGCTGTACTCTAATCTTAGGAGAATCACTTAATCTTTCTGGGCCTCTTTTCAAATGAGATTTAATCTTGGCCTGCCTGATCTCACAGAATATGTCCTGGCTGCTGTGTGAGAGAGCATTTGAAGCTCTGTTAGCGTTGGAAGGGCACTCTCTGAGGTTATGAGCTCTTGTTGATGTTGTCTCCTTTCTCCCTCTGCTGAATGAGCTCCTGGTGGTTGCTGTTTAATATATTGAGGAAAGAAAAAGAGGCCTTCCTCTTCCACAGAGGTGTTATTGACTGCATAGTATCAGAGAGAAAAGATCCTTTGGTTTTCAGAGCAGGGTCCAGAGCAGGAATTTTTAAATTTGAAGGTAGCTTACAATTATGAAGAGGGAAGACTGTCTCACGAAGAGAGGAGGTAGGTTATTTACTTCCCACAACCTTTTAGGGCTACAGTTCGTAGTGTGTTCACTGCCAGATGTGCTTCTAGACTCAGAATGGGCAGTCAGTCCACAGGGGCCACTTGTTTGGAGGCCGCCGTGTTTGGTATATCAGGGATACATTCTGAAAATAACAGAAAACTGGACTAACAGCACCTTAAACAATTTAGGGTCTATTTTTCTCAAATAGCAAGAAGTCCCCTCGTCAGTGGTCTGGTGTTAGCTCATATGTTCTGTGATGCTCTCAGGGAGCCAGGTACTTTTCAGGGCTTCTACGCTGCCGTCCTCAGCTGTTGGCTTTTCATCTTGCTTGTTGCCGCGTGTTGGAAGCTACAGGAGCCATTTGCAACCTCATATCTGCATTCAGGGCAGTATGAAGAGGAGGTGGGGGTGGAGCTAACCTGTCTGCCCCTTTTAGCAGGAAAAGCAAAAGCCTTACTAGAAGCTCTTTAGCTGAATTCTATGTGCCCATGTGTTACGTACTGCTCTTCCTCCTTCCCAGAACGTAATCAGCCTCTACCAGCGAGAAGGGTGCTGGGCATGTCTCTTAAATTAGCCAGTGAACAGTGCTGGTTACTTTAGGTCTTTCCCTGAGCGGAGAATGAAATAATCTGACATAAAGAGGAATCACTACGCCCACAGTAAAGCAGAATGACTGAGGGTTGGGGGCTGGGGGCGGGTGTGTCTAGTAGGGCACCAGGACAAGTGGGTGGCTTTTCCATTTTTAATTTTGTTTTTTCTTTAAATACTGATTACTTTTGCATCCTATTTCTTACCTATTTCATTGGCACTCACTTTCTTTCCAGTTGGCATGATGGTGGCAGCTAATCTGTTTCTTCTGCTTAATAAACACTAGATGTTTAGGGGTGGGGTGGTTATTTTGTTTTTTGGAGACGGGATCTTGCTCTGTTGTCCCGCCTGGGACTGTACTGATGCAGTCATGGATCACAGTAACCTCAAATGCCTGGGCTCAAGCAGTTGCCCACCTCAGCCTTCCAAGAAGTTGGGGCTACAGGTGAGCACCACCATGCCTGGTTCATTTGTAAAATTTTTTGGTAGAGACAGGGTCTCGCTGTGTCATCCAGGCTGGTCTTGAACTCCTGGGCTCAAATGATCCTTCCTGCCCTTGGCCTCCCAAAGTGTTGTGATTACAGGTGTGAGGCACTGCACCAGCCTAATTTTTTTGGCAGAGTCTGGCTCTGTCACCCAGGCTGAAGTGCAGTCTCGGCTCACTGCAACCTCTGCTTCTTAGGCTCAAGACACCCCCCTACCTCAGCCTCCCAAGTAGCTGGGATGACAAAGCCTCAATATTTCTGGTACAAAAAAGGGATTAGGAAGAAAGGTATAGGCTACTGAGCATTTAGAGCTAGCTTTTAGTTCAGAACTTGTAGATGTTTTTACGTTTAATCTCTCTGCTACTTTTATAGTGTTACTTAATCACAGTGCTGCAATGTGTACCCATTTTTGTACTAGCTATGAACAACCAGCTAGAATGACAAGAGTGGTCCGTTTCACTGGAATGTGAAGAGGACACCTAGGCCCTGACTTTTTCTTGCCAGAAGTTACTGTGTTACTGTGTTATGTTTTTAATCAAAAAGGAATTGAGTGAACGTAATCAGAGCACTTTGCAGTTTTCCTGGGTTTTTGGTTAACTGAAAGAGCACTGAGCAAGAGCCTAAGATTGTTCTATCTAGTATGTCAGCCAGCAGCCCCACATGTGGTTTTTTAAGTTTAGATTAATTACAAGTGAAAAAATTAAAAAATTTTTGGGTAGCATCTTCTACTTATGAATGTCTTTTACATTTTGCTTGAGAAAATCAAGCTCTTCTTCCCTTGGCTTTCTTAGTTGCTTGTGTGATTATTCAAAGATGAAAAATGCTGGAATCAGAGTTCACTGATGCTTGACACAGATGTGCCCTCTTGCTTGGAGTAGAGGGAAGGTAGCCTGCTTCTGTGGCCTGTCTCCTTCAAGGGCCTATGGGAAAATTAAAGAGCAGCCATGGCCTGGGTGGTTGGTATTGTTTGTGGCCTTTCTTTTGATTGATTAAGGGCAGTGAAAGATTACCTTGAACCAAGAGGCAGTAATGTGGAAAAAAATAATTTGTAAGAAAATTAAGAAGTGAGAAGACTTAATCCAAGTTAGACTTTCTGGAAAACTCAACTGACATTGTGTTCTCCCCTGCTCCCCCATCATCAAAGAAATCTACTCCTGCACTTCTGCCCTGTGTAGAAGCGATGGACAGCACAGTGATGTAGGGGTGCTGTGGGTCTGCGCCTGCAGTTCTGCTCTAAAGCCGGGGCCTTCCAGTCTTAACTCTGGCTGCTCTGTTACTTCAGCTCAAGCCTATGTGGTAGGAAGCCCAGGCATTTCTTTTGTCTTTAATATAAGACTCCAGGTAGGTGTTTTGCTGCTTGGGTATCACCTGTTAGGAAGCTGTGGATCCAGGACTACATACGTGAGAGCTCTTTCATCTCCTCCTCCTTGGTTGTGCTTTCCCTGTTGCTCTGAACAAGCAAATAATAAATCTAGTTAGATGCTTCAAAGAATACCATAGGGACCTCACAATTCAGCTACAACAAATGATAGTAACGTTTTTACTCTTGGGATTTTGTTTATTTACATTTTTAAGTTCTGTTTTCATACCTTTATATAAGTCTTTACTTTTTAAATGAAAATTGTTTTTTCCTTCTAGATCCAGAATATTAAACAGACAAACAGTGCCCTCAAAGAAAAACTTGATGGTGGAATAGAACCATATCGACTTCCAGAGGTAGGATTATGTTAACATCATCTCAGAAATCATACTCAAGTTTTGCATGTTTAAGAATTAAAACCTGTGTGATAACATCTTCAGTATACATCTCTTGGAAGAGTATATGGACATAATTTTATGAACTTAATTAATGTTAAAATTCTGATAGAGAAAAAGAAAGGTTCATTAAACTCAGAGGGACATATTCATCTCCAAATGTAATGTGCTAAAATGACTCATTTGGATATCCAGGTCATTCAGAAATGTAATGCACGTTGGACTACAGAAGAGCAGCTTCTCGCCGTACAAGGTATGGGGAAGGTTTTCTTCTAAAGAGTTTAGGAGGCCAGGTGTGGTGGTGGCTCACACCTGTAATCCCAGCACTTTGGGAGGCCAACATATTTGCTTGAGCCCAGGAGCTCAAGGCTGCATTGATCCATGATCATACCGCACTGCATTCCAGCCTGGACAACAGAGTGAGACCCTGACTTTAAATTATAAAAGGGGGAAAAAAAGAGCCTGGAGGCATTGGTAGATTTTAGGGAAAAAGTTATGTCCCATCCCACTCTCAGCCCCTATTTATTTAGAAATAGCTTCTTGGATGATTATGTCCTAGTGGATGTCATTGTAGCCAGATTACTGCATTCCTTTGGGCTTTTTTCTTTTCCTTTCCCACACAAGTTGTAAAAACTTAACCTAGAACTCTCAGTTTTCTAAAGGTGCGAGTATTTTATTTTACTAGTTACTCGTTGAGCTCCCACTCTTCAGGAAGTACAAAACCCCAGAAGAAGCAGATAGAGTGTTCGGATTTTAAGGTTGGAGACACTTTGGACCTGCGATACCAAAAAGGTGAATGCAGAATGTCCTCAGCCCTAGGGCAATTTCTGGGTAACTTCAGTTGTTAAGTGACATGTAATGGGAAAACAGATATCAAAACAACAGGGTCAGTCGTCTCCAGAATGTGTCTAGAATTGACCGGTACTTTTTCCTACTCTTACAGCACACAAAATTAGTGCCTGCTGTTAAAAGCCTGTATGTTTTCTTATCTGGTTAAAGAGGTAAATCTCAACTGTGGTTTTAAAAAATTGTTTTTCTCTTGTATTTTTAAAAAATGCCTTCTTAACATCCTTAGCCATCAGGAAATACGGCCGAGATTTTCAGGCAATCTCAGACGTGATTGGGAACAAGTCAGTGGTACAAGTGAAAAACTTTTTCGTTAATTATCGACGCCGCTTCAACATAGATGAAGTTTTACAAGAATGGGAAGCAGAACATGGTAAAGAAGAGACCAATGGGCCCAGTAACCAGAAACCTGTGAAGTCCCCAGATAATTCCATTAAGATGCCTGAAGAGGAAGACGAGGTAAATCTGAAACAAAACAGTCACTTCTCTGTTAGGAAGTTCATGCTTGATATTCCAATTTCTAAAGTGATGAATTTTTTCAGCTGTAGAGATTCTTAGGTTTCAGCTGTATTAGTAACTTCACTATTACCTGTAAATAACCATAACGTGTATGCATTGACTCCAGTTCTTGGTCCCTGTGTATTATTCACATTTTAATTTCTGGGCAGATTCTTAATTTCATCCTGGTTTCCTCCAGCCACAGAATACTCTGCATTATCTGTTTTCCTTAAATACAGTGAAATCTTGAGTCACTAAGATGCAGGGGGTTGGGGTATAAAGAAAAAGTAAAAATACAGTGAAAGCTGTCACGAAGCACTAAGGTGGAAGTTTGTGAGGAATGTCGGTGAGGCTCAGTCATCTGAAATGTGTCGTCACATCATCATGAGGTTAACAGACTGAGTGGTGAGTCTCACGGCCGGCCAACCCTGAGCTCCTCAGGCCTGTCCCTGCTGTCCAGATCTTCCAGCCTTTGATGCTCTTTGGGGCTGATTGGCTTAAATATTGATGGGAACAGTTCTATGGCTGGCTGGAACTTCTGTGATGGTGGCTGATAATTTCTGGGATGATAGCCCTGGTTTAATCTGTCACTTCCCTGCTGTCTGTGCCAGGAGCACCTGCTATTTCCCCATCTAGCCTGGCCTGCCTTGCTGTTATGTTTCTCCCTCTACTCCCAGAGCACATGAGCCTGGGGCTGGACATAAGAAAGAAGAACTTGCCAAGCACTTTGCCTCTGAATGTTCATAAGCATGGTAATTTAAGAACTAATTTAGCTTTTTTTTCTTTCTTTCTTTCTTTTTTTTTTTTTTTAAGAGAGTCTCGCTCTGTTGACTAGGCTGGAGTGCAGTGGCGCAATCTTGGCTCACTGCAACCTCCACCTCCCGGGTTCAAGTGATTCTCCTGCCTCAGCCTCCTGAGTAGCTGGGACTACATACGCATGCCACCACACCCAGCTAATTTTTTTGTATTTTTAGTAGAGACAGGGTTTCACCGTGTTAGCCAGAATGGTCTCCATCTCCTGACCTTGTGATCCGCCCACTTCGGCCTCCCAAAGTGCTGGGATTACAGGCATGAGGCCACCACGCCTGGCCCTAATTTAGCTTTATAAGCAAAATCACTTTCACATCAAAGTCTTTTTCAGACCATGCTGGAATGATTTGAGATGACCTATTTTGCATTGTGTGTGCTGCCATTTTGCTTCAAGAGCCTGGCTCTAGAAGCAGCCCAGAAAAAGGGTTCCTGACCTGAGCATGGAAGTACCTTGGAAGGTAGATGGTATCCCTGGGAGTATGGTGCCACCCCTCCATGCAAGGCCTCTTTGCCACCTGGGAAAAGGACCTCGAGGCACAGCCATCTGCAAGAACAGCATTGAAACATATTAATTTTCTTAGAATTAGATTCTTTAGAGCCTTTTGCCAAAAAATCTTTGTAATAAATGTACTAAATCAGTAGTATTTCCAAAGTCAGTACCCCTGAGTCACCCCCATGCATAGCCCTGCCTGAAAAGGGCATGTAACTAAAATGGTGGTGTTTTTATTTTCAGCAGTGATTTTTTTTTTCTTTATTCATCTTCCCTTTTTTTTTCCAGTGATTTTTGTCCCAGCACTAATTGCCCCTGTTAGCACTCAGTTTAGGAAGCATTGAAAAGCTGGAGACTGCTGAGGAGGAAGCATTAGGATTTGCAGGAATGAAAGCTTGCTTCCTGTGTGTGTTTTCCGGCTTCATTCCCAGGATGACTGGAAGCAGAAACAGTCAGGAACTCTAGCTGTATTCCGTCTTCACATTTGATCAAAGCCAGTGCTAGCTGGGCCGGCATAACAAATCTGATAGGAAATTTAGAACCAAGAGTCATTACCAACAGGATGTCCATTGTTGTGCATATGTTTTTTTTTCTTCATTCTCATGCTTGGATCATTGATTGACTTAAGTGAGTCAGGTAGTTTTTTTTAACCTTGTTATCAGCCCAGGTTCCTCCATAATGGTCTGCTTGGCATGTGGATTGTGCATCAAAGCATGGGCATTCCATTCCCAGTCTACTTCTGCCTCCTCCAAGCAACAGATCATAGTTTTTCCTGCGTGGTTCATCTTCCATGTCTTTTTTACCTAGCTTCTCTGCAAAACAAAATGAAGAATGGTATTATCTAACTCATGTTTAATGCTGCATAGTCCTTATGTCTCTTTAAAAACTTTCCAGTAGTCATTTAAAATGTACCCCCTCGTACATTTCTTTCTTTCTTTTTATTGTTTTGAGACAGAGTCTCTCTTTGTCGTCCAGGCTGGAGAGCTGTGGCACAATCTTGGCTCACTACAACCTCCAAATCCTGGGTTCAAGTGGTTCTCCGCCCTCAGCCTTCAGCCTCCCAAGTAGCTGGGATTACAGGCGTGCGCTACCATGCCCGGCTAATTTTTGTATTTTTAATAGAGACGGGATTTCGCCATGTTGGCCAGGCTGGTCTCAAACTCCTGACCTCAGGTGATCCACCCACCTTGACCTCCCAGAGTGCTGGGATTACAGGCATGAGCCACTGTGCCCGGCCTGTTTCTTTAGTTTCTTGTAGTGCCAGCTGTGCCCTGCCATCACCTGGTTTTCTGTTCTCCATATGTTAGTTTGCAGAAGGAAATTAATCTAGTGACCATCTGCTTCTCTGTGTCCCAGGGCCTAGGGGAACTTGTTAGAATACTGGCTTACTTGTCTGTCTGGTGAGTCCACAGAACTTGGGGTGTGTGTAATTTCGCCTTTTTATTTGTCCTGTGGAGTCCAGCAGCTGAGAAAGATGTCTGATGGTGTCCTGCCTGTCCCCTCTGCCCTCAGGTTTTATGTATTAGGCAGAACCCATAGGGAGAACATAAGAATTCCTGGAAGTTCTAGTAACAGAATGGTCTGTCAGATGTAGATTATTTCCTTCAGAGCTCAGAGGCGGGTAGGTAGCCCAAGGGCATTTTGAGCTTTTGAAATTCAGAGTTATTTGAAGTGGGCAAGGGTGGATTGGGGATGGTGTCACATCCAACCTCTCATTAAAAAAGGGTGCCATGGGTTGGAGAGAAAGATTCTCACATAAAATTATGAAATGATTGAGTAGATTACCAGTGAGGAGAAATCTCCTTATTTAACTTAGAAATCATATGATTTTTAACTGAAAGAACAATCACTTCCAGATTCTGGACGAATAGCCCAGTTGTTTCTCTAGCACTCAGACACTGTGAAAGTGGCAGAGAGCAGCAAGATGCCATGTAACCTTTATTTAAGTTTGAGTCTGGGTGTCAGTTTTAAAAAATAGGAGAGGGGAGTTAGGAAATGCCACATAGCTTTTAAAGATAGTCCTGAGATCATATGGGCTCCTGTATCCCAGCTGGAGCCAGTGGCTGGGCGCCAAACGGTGGGTGCCACAGCCTGCCCTCAAGCCAGTGAGAGGAGTTAGGGCTGCTACTGTGCTTGTATGACCTTTTCAGGTTTTTTTGTTCGTTTGTTTTTTTGAAACAGAGAGTTTTCTGTTGCTGAGATCAAGTGGAGTGCAGTGGTATGATCTTAGCTCACTGCAATCTCCACCTCCCGAGCTCGTGATTTTTGTGCCTCAGCCTCCCAAGTAGCTGGGACTGCAGTTGTGCACCACCATGCCCGGCCAATATTTCTTTTTAGTAGAGACAGGATTTTGCCTTGTTGGCCATGCCGGTCTTGAATTCCTGGCCTCAAGCAGTTCTCCTGCCTCAGCCTCCCAAAGTGCTGGGATTACAGGCACGAGCCACTGTGCTGGGCCGTTTTCAGGCATTTAAATTTAATCCTGGTGAAGTAGATATCACTATGTATCTTCTACACATGAAGAAACTGAAGCTCAAAAAGACATCTAGAATGTGGGAGGGCTGGGATTCAAGACCAGGATGCCTGGCCGGAGAGGCCACACACTTGCCCTGCCCTTAAGAACATCATGGTGTTTGGGTTGGTCGCTGTGGCTCATCCTTGTAATCCCAGCATGTTGGGAGGCCGAGGCAGGCAGATCATGAGGTCAAGAGATAGAGACCAGCCTGGCCAACATGGTGAAACCTCATCTGTACTAAATACAAAAATTAGCTGGGCGTGGTGGCACGGGCCTGTAGTCTCAGCTACTCAGGAGGCTGAGGCAGGAGAATCGCTTGAACCCAAGAGGCAGAGGTTGCAGTGAGCCGAGATCACGCCACTGCACTCCAGCCTGGTGACAAAGTGAGACTCCGTCTCAGGGAAAAAAAGAAACAACACAGTGTTTCCTCTGCAGGTTTGCTGGCTACCCCCTTCCTTTTCAGTACACTGGAGATAGCAGCTTGTGCTGTTTACCTCTTCTTTGATCCTTTTTTTTTTTCTTTCTTCTCTTGGCCTCAGGCTCCTTCTGTTCTGGATGTCAGATATACATCTGCCTCCTGAGGAACTCTGGTGGCTTTGAACAATTGGTGTGGACTACTGTGTTATCCGGGATATCAGGTATTACGAGACATCACCTAGCCATCTGCATCACATCTCTCTGGACAAGCAGCTATTACCAAAAAAGGCATATCCTTCCAGTCCTGTGCTCCATCTGCCTTAATTCTTTGCTCGTTCCTCCATGTTGGCGCCACTTCCCAGAGAGCTCCACTGCATCTCTCGCACTCTGCCTCCGTGCCGGGGAATCTCATGGCCTGCACATCTCTTGTGACTCTGGGAACCGCCTCCCCCGCCGGAGCCCCTGAGCCCCATCAATGGCAGCTCTTCCCAGTCAGCAGCTTCAGAGCAGGCAGTCTCCTCGGAAGGCCCGACTCTGTTCCTGCATGGCCTGCAATTTCTACTTTGTGCATAGAGTAATTTTCAGAGTAACCGCGATGCTGTTGGCGTTCTAGAAAGTTTCTCTTGTTCTTTTCTGAGACAGCCACCTAAGTGATAATCTGCTTTTTTTGGAAATCACAATATATTGCCAGACTACATCATAACCTTTATCATGCCAAGCATCCTGATGCAACTCACATTTTCCTAAACATGGGGTATAGTTACAGTTTATAAATTGAGTTGGCTTAAATCTCTTCCTTCTCCCTTCCCAAGTGTTACAAAGCTCATTCACTGCAACTGTCCTTGGACACTAGCTTAAAGGGAACGTGGACCTCAATGCTTTCTGCCTTCAACTTTTCAGCATTGTGACCCCAGGGTGGGTGCCACCCCATCTTTTCCTGACCCCCACCCCCACCTCCAAGAGGTTTGGCCCACATCACTGTACCTGGTGCTTGTACATTTGGAATTGGTGCCTTCTCCTTTTGGCAACCATGGTATCAATCCTTTTTCTGTTTTAGTGTCTTATTTCTTCTTTCAAGTTATTTGCTAGCCAAAGATGACATCACTGAGATGAGGAGACGGGAGCTTGCTGCAGATTCTGACAGCGCAGATTGTAAATGTCAGTGTCAGAATATTAGAACAGCTGCGATGGTTTCTGAAAGCTGCATGTTGTTCCGCATTTTCTCAGTTCGCCTGGCCTTTTATGTGGCACTCCGTATGCCAGTGTGTGTCCTTCATGTGCTGATGTGATGACACAAACACCATCCACACTCTTAATATCAGAGTACAGGACAGAGAAGTGATCAATGTACTGGTCTAGTGAGACTGAGATGAAGAGAAATCACCTACAAAGTGGTCTGTAATGCCTTTTGGTTGGACTGGGAACAAGTAAAATTTTCTCATAAACATGTTGAGACTTCCAGAATCACTTTTGTTATCTTACCAGACCGTGGGCCGCTGAGGGTTGAGGAGCAGACTGTCAGACTGCATTCTCACATGCCCTGTTCCCACCCCACGGCCATTCAGACTGCACTAAATACGTTGAAGTCGCTTTTGTTGTTGTTTGCATCATTTAAATATTTTTTTCTGCTTTTAATACCAAAAAAAAAAAAAAAATGCAGATGCTTTAAGGCATAAACAGAATTCTTAAGAATTTAAAATATGCAATTAAAATTTGATATGTTTTGACTCCCAAGCACCTTGTTTTTGTTGTTGTTGTTGTTGAAGTCAGCTGATTTTCCCTTTAGAAAGAGGGTCAGCTAGAAACCTAGGTATTTTGGAATTGTTAATTGCATTTTAGTATAGTCTGGAGAAAGGTCATTCAAAAGGGAAGTACAATGGGACTTGCCCGCCCTTCATCATCTCATTCCCGTACCAGGTGTGTGTTGGTCACATAAGCGCCTGGGAAGCAGCAGAGGAGTCCCAGTTGTCGCTGCTACCTGGAGACAGGGTTAGCAAAATAACACTAGGGTTGAGGGAAGGCCTTTTTTTTTTTTTTTTTTTTTTTTTTTTTAAAAAACAAAAACAAAAACAAAAAACCATAAGCCCGCTGTGTACACCGAGGGCGGCGGGAGAAGCATGAGAAGGAGTCAGCCTAAGTTTGCACATTGCGTAAAGGGGACACTAAGGTATGAGCCGAAGCTTTAGGTTCTCCTTGCTTCCCTCAAGACTTCCTTCCTGTAACAGAAGCAGCAGGCAATTGCTGCACTGCGTTTCTTGCCCTGCCAGTAGGTCTGTATCTCCCGTAAGGAAAAATAGCCTGATCCCTTCTGGCAGCATTTGGAAGCTTGATGCTAATTCTTACATAGCGTGGCAAGCCAGCCACGAGTGCCAGGCCTTGATCTGTATTCTGCACTATGCCCTTACTTGGTTCCTGGCACTGAGTGGTCCCCCAGCCCTGAAGAATCACTTGAGATCATCACAGCAGCTGAACTAGGCTTTCTCCCCAAGGGGCAGGGGCATGTCGTTTTCATTTGACGGGGAAAAGAGGTAGCTGTCCTTGACTGCCTTTGTTGTGGTTTCCTGCGTAAGATAGCACTGTGTTTTCAACTTTTTTTCATTACACTGTCTTTGCAATGATGTAAATGTAAGAAATCACTTGGCTTTAAAAGCGAAGTGGTTGGTTATTTATGTGAAGACTTTTTAACATATCAAGAATTAGGTGCGTTGGCAGGTAGGGTTTGGGATGTGGTAACTGCTTCAGATGGAATGTTCACTTAAGCTTTGTCTTCTTAAAAGTTATCAATGTGAATGTCATAATTATATATATTTTTGTGGAAATTTTTCTCATAAGTTATTGTGCAAAATATAGTATCATTGATGCAAATAATAGTTTTAAACTTTTAGTTTAGAAACCCTAAAAGATATAAATTGTATTACATATGCATTAAAAGTTTGTTTTATTTAATTTTATGTAGATGTGTAAAGTGTTAGGTAAACTTTTTTTCACTTATCCATTTAAACACCTTGTTACTTGAATATTGTGTTGACTGGTCTGCAACAGTGATCCATTCTGTAATATAGCTCTTTTAACTGGGAAGGAACCACGCCCCAGTTGTGCTGATTACATTCGTGGTGGCTCACAGGTGGGTGCTGGTGTTGGCAGGAGCCAGAGGTTGGTGTAACGCAATGCTGCGTTATCTTGGTGCACAGAATTTGTGGAGACGCCGCTTCCTCAAAATGGTTTTTGATCATTTTTTATCTATAAGACCTTTTGATGCTCACAAACCTCTATTCAACACACAAAACAAAAATGAAAAGGTAGTTGGGTTGTAAAAGCTTACTGTGGTGGACTCATTAAGCAGTGGTTTTCTGTTCATAGAAAGTTTCCTCAGATACCACACACCACTGTTAACTGTGCTCATTGTCACTTTAAATTTCAACTATACCCTGTTTTTGTCATTCTAAATATCAGACGTACTATTGGTATAATTGCACACCAAAAATCAGCCAAACTGTGCATTACGCTGACTGGATCCCTGCTTTTATGTGAGCTAAGAAAAGATGGAGCCAACTCCAACAAGGGCCTCTTTTTCTCTCTTGTCTAGCCTGTTTCTAAACCGAATGACCCAGGATTCAAGCTTTTAGTATCAAGTGAAACTTTGCCTCAGATGGACTCCAGGTAGTTTAGGTCATCTATATCTAGCGGTCCTGTGCGATGCTGTTTCTGCCACTCCCTGAATCTCCGCAGCTTCTCTTATGTTGTAGTAAAGCACAATTGCAGCGACGTCGCATCAGAAGAAGGAAGGTCAGCAGAGGTGATGCATGTTGTATGATGATGAGTGTTTACAGCCACCTTCTCCTAAGAAGAAAATTTACACTGGGGTGGGTAGTATTCCATTATGTAGACTTAGCGACTTTGCTAAGTGCTTTTTAGACTGCTTAAAAAATTTTCAAGATTTTAAAAGATGTATAAGGTTAAGTTTGCAAATATAATGGAAATGCTGTATATCTTTTGAAGTGATAAAATCCACGTTGGAATTTTAAAGAAAATATGCTGTAATAATGCTGTTGTAAGTAATATTTTAATGTCTCTTTGCCTGTTTTCTATTTCAGCACATTCATTGTGGTGAATGTTCATAGCATTATAACTGCTTAGCCATTGAATGATAACATTTGTTAGTGGAAATTGGAAAATTTATTTGTGAAATTCTGCAGAATTCATTTTTCTATTTCCAATATTTGCTGAGGTTAAATAAAAATTTTCAAGCCATTGATGTAATAAAATACGAAACCAAAGCATTTTCTGCACCCCCACTCTCCATCAAAGCAGTACCCTACCCTGTACCAAAGTGGGGTTCTTTCTTTCCTTTTGAGTGAGTCTTGGGTTTCCAAATGTTTAATTTCCTCCAAATCAGACCCTTTGGAAACACAGCTCGGGATGCCTTTTGTTTTTAGCCTTTTGCTCTATCTGAACCTACATCCTTTTTTGTGTAAAATTTTATAGTTGGAATCAAATTGAAGCGCATGAATTCATGGTTTGTGATAGTTGTGGGCTCAAATGCAGGGGTTCAGTAAGAAGTGATTTTTCTCCCCATAGTGGGTTTTCGTTTTTCAGCCTCACCAGGCTTTTTGGCCTGGTCCCTGGAGGCAGGATGGTAGCAGTGCAGAGGCGAGATCACTGCCTCTGTGGCCTCTGCTCAGCCCAGAGTGGATGCTGGTAGTTTCCTGAGTAGCAGCAGGAGCTGGCGGTGGCTGTGGTGTCGTGGTCTTCCCTTTGTTAGCTGGGATGTAGGATTTGGTTAGATACCGCTAGAAGCCCAATGCACTATCCATTGTGCCACGGAGTCTGCTCACTAGGTAACTTCTACTATAGAAACCCAACTTCTAGGTCCAGGCAGATGGGGCCCCTGTGTGTGACTGCACGGTGCAGGAGGGTTGTAGAAGGGTGGCTGGGTCCAGCCTCCCCCAGGTTGGCAGTCTAATGGGGGGGCACTGCACACACCCTATCACAGGGAGTGGTGCCGCAGCTGCAGGAGGGTCTGGGAGGGAGGTCGCAGCTGCCTTATGTCTTTAGGGAGTGCCTGTCCTGGAGCTGAGCCTGTGGAAAGGGGTGAGGGTGGCACCTAGGGGTGGAGATCAAAAGCGTTGAGACCTCCGCTGTGATTTGTGAAGGTGACTTGTGGTCTAGAACAAGAGGAAATGAGTTCCAAGGACAGCGATGGGGATGATTGAGGCTGAGGCGGCCCCCTGCCAGGATGCCACCGGACATCTGCTAGGATGGGCACTGATGAGGGAGCCATTTGGACCTGGCCTTTATTGACTTAAAAGAACCTCGGGCAATGCGTGAGACCGGGAAGAGGGGAGCTGTGGAGGTGTTGAGGGAAAGGCCTTCTCAAAGACTGGCCCAACCTGAGCACAAGCAAGGGCACAGGAAAGGAAGGGATAGCAGGCAGGCTGTGAGTCCCGCATCAGGGACACATGGCGGCCCTGGCTGCAGGCCCCCGTTCCTCGGACTGATGGGGAAAGACATCCATTTACAGGTGTAGATTAGGTCGCCTCCGTGCCTCACTTCCCTTCATCTTGGCTCTCCCCACAACCCCAGCTTCAGACAGGTGTGACTGCAGCACTCTGAGGTGGGCGGCCTAGGGGACCTCCGAACAGCAGCCTGGAAGTAGCAGGGAGTTCTGTCCCCAGGGGCAGCTCTGAGTAAGGGGGCCGCAGACAGCAGTTCCGAGGCCATTTCTTAGGGCCTCCATCCACGGCCCTCTGCGGAGACCAGCTCAGAAATGGTCTGGGGCTGACTGCTTCCCTGCCTCACATTTTCTGGCCCCCTACTTCTGTTAACCTGGGATCAGTTTCAAAATCAAACCATTTACCTACAAAGCCTCATCTCAGGCTCTGCTTTTTGGTAAAATCTAGGCCAAGACAGCACTGAGGTGAGAATCACAAGGCTCAGAGAGACCTAGTGAGGCCCCTGCCAGGCCTATCCCAGCCATTCAGCTTGTGGGAAGGAATGATCGTGAGGGCGTTCAGTGCTGACGCTGCTGGAGAGGCAGCTCGCCACTTGGAGGCAGCTCCAAGCACGCTGCGAGGCACTGACTCTTGGAGCTGACAGTTATGTGAGGCTCTGCGTAAATTGCTTTCCTTCTCAACAGATCAGAGGCCATGCCTGGGGCATCATTTGGGCCCACACTAGCTCATGGATGACCCTGACATTCTTTTTTTTGGGGGGGGGGTTCTTTGTTTTGGGGGTGTTTTGTTTCAAGATGAGTCTTGTTCTGTTTCCCAGGCTGGAGTGCAGTGGTGCAGTCTCTGCTTTGCAATCTTCACTCTGCAATCTCTGCCTTCCAGGTTCAAGCAGTTCTCCTGCCTCAGCCTCCTGAGTAGCTGGGATTACAGGCACCCACCACCATGCCCAGCTGATTTTTAGTAGCGATGGGGTTTTCCCATGTTGGCCAGGATGATCTCGAACTCCTGACCGCAGATGATCCACCGGCCTCAGCCTCCCAAAGTGCTGGGATTACAGATGTGAGCCACTGCACCCGGCCAATTCTATTCTGGGCTGAACGGAACCCACCCCTTGAGAGAGCTTCCCAAGTATACTTACCTGTTGTCTCAGAAGCAGGAGCACAGTCATAGGCCTTGGCACACCGGCTGGCCCACCCACTCTGCCAGCTCGCCCTCCCTTCACCATTTTCCCACTGCCTGGGCGCCCTTTTAGTACCTGCACACTCCACAGCGCTCACACCTAAAGCCCTGTCCCCAGAGCTCAGCTGCCCTTGGACCCCTCCACCCCCACGTCTTTCAGTGCCCCCAGATGACACATCCAAGACAAAGACCATTCCCCTGCTCTTGTTTCTGCATCCTCTGGTGTGTGGAACTACCATGTATCTGGTCACCAAGCTAGATGCACTTCGATCCATGACTGCTGCCAGGGACAGCACGAGCCCTCCCTCCCACCCGGGGGGGTGCTGTGGCCTCCTAACCCACCCCTTATCCCCACCATTCCTCTTGCCTTTTCTGTCCCACTCCCCACATAATCAGGGACCAACCTCTCCTGTGGAAAGCAGAAAGCATTGCACCTGTCTCCCAGAAAATGCACAGTTCTGCATTTGTCCTAAGGCCCTGTAACCTCCCGACATCAGGTGCGCTCCCAGGTGCCTCTTCAGCCCGGTCATGCATCCTGTCCATCTCTGGTCCCGATGAACCCCTGCCTTCTCCCGCCTTCTGCAGGGGACTGATGCTCAGGGCTTCTACAACTTGAGGCTCATTCTGTGCTAGCCTCTTTGTACTGACTGGAATGAGGTGATTTTAAGTTCTTATTTTTAAAATAGGTAACTAATGTTCCTGGTATAAAAGGCCTACGTGACATGTGTCTCATCCCTGCCCTCTAACCACCCAGTCCTCTCCATAGGCGGCCATTGCTGTCAGTTCCTTGCGTATTCCTCAAGGGTTGATCACACGTTTGCAGGCATGCATTTGTGCACACATACAAATGACATTCTCTCTACATTAGCTTTGCCGCCCGACACACCAGTTGTTTTCCTAGTCTTCTCGCATTAGCACATAGGTCTAAAGTCACTTTGGCCCGGGTGCAGTGGCTCACACCTGTAATCCCAGCACTTTGGGAGGATGAGGTGGATGGATCACCTGAGGTCAGGAGTTTTGAGACCAGCCTGGCCCACATGGTGAAACCCTGTCATTACTAAAAATACAAAAAAATTAACTGGGCATGGTGGCATGCCCCTGTAATCCCAGCTACTCAGGAGGCTGAGGCAGGAGAATCACTTGAACCCAGAAAGCGGAGGTTGCAGTGAGCTGAGATTACGCCATTGCACTCCAGCCTGGGCGACAGACTCAGCCTCAAAAATTAAAAAAATAAATAAAGCCACTTCATTCTTTTGTATTGATTTCATGGTATTCTATTTATGGCGACAGTGATTTGTGGAAACCATCGTGAGCTGACAGGCGCTGAAGTATCCTTTGTAACATCAGCAGAATGGAAATCACATCACTTCACCGACATGCCCGTGTAGTTGCAGGGTAAATAGAATCTCTAGTTCATTTTCCGTTTGATATGTACTGCTCGCTGGCCTTCCATAGCAGTTGTATCAATTTCTCCTTCTGTCCGCGTGAACAAGGCCACTTGCTGCCCCGCGCCCTTCCTGATGCTGTGATAATTGCACATGTTGATCTGAAGTGTTTGATAAGATGTTGCGCTCACTAGACAGTTCCTTGAGGTCAGCACTGTTGTGCTCATCCAGTTCCCCACAGCTGGGAATAATAGCCACATAGCTAGGTATAAACAAAATAGAGAGATCGGTGCATTGCAGGGGAAGAATAAGTGCCTGCTCGTCCTGTGCTTAGGGATCAAAGGCCCCGCCATGGATTATGATTGACGCCCAGGGAATGGGATTCCCAGCTGCCAATTAGCTGAGACTTGCGGTTCTCGGGGCCCTTTTCTTGTTTATTGAGCAATCAGTATACTTACTGCCAAAGGACTGGGGGAAGAAATGTTCAAATCTGAAGACCTGGTGTTTTAGATTTTTATTTATATTTTATTTACTTTATTTATTTATTTATTTCTGAGACAGGGTCTTGCTCTGTTGCCCAGGCTGGAGTGCAGTGGTGGGATCTTGGTGCACTGCAACCTGAACCTCCCAAGTTCAGGTGATTCTCATGCCTCAGCTTCCCAAGTAGTTGGGACTACAGGCATGTGCCACCACACCTGGCTAATTGTTTTGGTTTTTATTTTTGTTTTGAGATGGAGTCTCACTTTGTTGCCCAGGCTGGAGTGCAGTGGCATGGTCTTGGGTCACTACAACCTCCACCTCTGGGTTCAAGGGATTCTCGTTCCTCAGCCTCCCAAGTAGCTGGGACTACAGGTGATCACACCTGGCTAATTTTGTATTTTTAGTAGAGACAAGGTTTCACCATGTCGCCCAGGCTGGTCTTGAACTCCTAACCGGAAGCGATCCACCCACCTCGGCCTCCTAAAGTGTTGGGATTACAGGCGTGAGCCACTCCGCCTGGCTGTAGATTTTAAATGAGGTTGAGTTCCGGATTCTGGGTCCTCCACCTCCCTCCATTCCTTGGTGCCTCTTTCTTCCTCCCGTTGCCCTCCTCAATGGAGAGTTGGCTGGTTGTTATATGTGAGGAAATTGGCCGAGTTCTGGCCTGGACAAGCCGAACAGACACCGTCCTGCCAAGATGGGGCAGGGAGAGCTTCTCAGAACTCCACTAGAAGCAGGAAGGGATGGTCCCGCCTGCAAAGTCATA